ATTGATTGACTTCAAATACTTCGAAGTGTGCATGAAGCTTGTCGAATTCAACCAAAGAGTTCAACAGTCACGTAAACACACGCTCAACCCTCGTATGATATATTTTTCTGAATCCGCACTGCAGAGATCAAAAAATCACCCGGCACCTAATGTGACCTATGTAGAGATTGGGATGACAGGTGTGCGACGGCGACTTCGGCGCATTCGGTTAAGCGAGCCCGTACCCATGGCGGTCTTGACTTGTTTATCGTAGTTTTTGTTACCTGTGATAGAAGTCATTAGAATTTATGCTATATTAGAAGTTTGTACTTGGAAAGGAACACACCGTACGCCTCAGAAGCATCCCACAACATGACACCACCGAAAGACGAGTACTTTGTCCGTGTCTCTTGAGCAATCTGGCCAAGGGTAGCCGCATCGACGTAACCGGGGTCTGCAGCGCTCTTGGAGGCCGGGGCACCAATGTAGATCTTGACGTCCTTGTTGACAGCCTTGGTCTTTGCCCAGTTATCCCAGGTACCAAAGTTCCATGCCTGCGACGGTGATTCAGATTAAAACGACTTATATTTCAAGAAGGTGCGCACGCTATGCTTATAGCTCTGTAGGCCACAGTCGTTGTTGTACTGAAAGCAATCTCAATGTGACGAAAGCCGTCGTAAGGATTTTGAACTTACAAACTGGAAGGAACTCGTCAGAAATGGACCAATGCGGCAGAGGGCAAGAGCTCACTTGGACGTAAATGGCATCGAATGCAACTGCGTTCAGAACTGGGCCGAGGTTTGCATCAGGATACTCGCATTGAGGAGCGGCCGTGAAGTAATATCTGTCACGGAGTCAGCTAATGCAGAACAAAGATTCTGGCGAAAAATCACTTCTTGCTGGTTCCTTTGCTGGTCCCGTTTGCATTCGACCTGATCTTGTTCACAAATGCAATAAGTCCACTAGTACTTCCGGGACTTTCAATGTCCAAGTCAACTCTGAGCAGACGTCAATCAAACCAGTCAAGACGGATGATGATACATATAAGGGACGAACCCATCGAGGACTGCAGTTCCGAAAGGACGCTTGTCGCTCGATCCACCTAGGAATAGATCCCAGATATTGTCGGCGAACTTCTCGGCCTGTGCGTCAGAGGTGAAGTGGATGCCACTAGCGGATGAACCTCCGAGACTGATAGTGACAATCTTGCCGTTGGCTTGGCATGCTTTGATCTCGTCGGCCATCGACTGGCAGTTTGCAAGTTTCGTCCCGGGGAGATTGTCATTGCATGTCTGTTCCAAGTTCTGTTAGTGGTTGCTAAAGATCAGAGAGAGGACTAGGAACCTACACCAGCCATGTCGAACTCTGGTAGACCACCGGTGGAGAAGAACGAGCCTACAAAAGCAAGAGGGATGGCGTTGATCGTATCATCCTATAGCGATTGGATCACGGTTGGCTTCAGGCTGATTTATAGGATACTGCTCGATCACTCGCCTCGCAAAAGGTCGACAAAGGTTTTTGTCCGCTAGAAGTATCACCACGTCCTTCGTCGTAGGAGTCTTGACCATAATAGACTGCCAACTGGAAAGATGTAAATGAATGGTCACACACTTGCTATGAAGACCATGCACTTACATTATCAGACCGGGAGTTATCGAACGCCGTCGTCTGCAGAAGTCCAGCTGCAAAGACGATGAATGAAAGGAAAAAGCCTCCAGAGGCTTTAGAACGAAGGAACACCATGTCAAATGGTCAACCAGTGAGCAACGAGCAGGGGGGAAGGGATTTTTTGCTCCGAGTCAAAACCATTGCAACCAAGGTCCTTTTTATGTTGCGGCAATCCCGAATGATAATATCCTTGATATCGATCATCGTTTACGGTGGAGAACGGCCGCATTGAGCAATTGATCAATTTGCCACAATCAATTTAGAGGAGGTCTATATCTGATCATCACGTACCCATCAGTGTTTCATGGTTATATGGAATAGGCAGAACTCAAACGGGCCTCCAGAAGCCAACTGTAGGACATTAAAGTCTGTAGGAAGTTTCTATTAGCATAAGTAAACAGTTTCTTCAGTAAGTGGATGCCATGTTGAGGATCATGCCTGGGACTTGGATCGGAACACTGACTGCCAACGCGTTCGGGTTTTCTTTCTGACTGGACTCGTACAACGTCTTCCAAGTCTTGCAACTTGTAGTGCGGAAAGGGTTATTCAATCATCACAATTCTGGACCAGAAAACGTTCTTGGTTGTTTTCAATTACTTCGAAGTGCAGGAAGCCTGTCGAATTCAACCAAAAGAGGTCAACAGCCCAGGTAAAACCCTCGCTCTACCCTCGCATGATATATCCATTTTTCTGAATCCGCACTGCAGAGATCAGAAAATCACCCGGCACCTATGTAGAAATTGGGACCACTGATGTACGCCTGCGACGGCGTCGCATCCGGTTGAGCGCGCCGGTGCCCATAGCGCTCTTGACTTGCTTGTCGTAGTTGCCGTTGCCTGTGATATAGCCAATTAGAATTGATACTTTATTATACTTCAAAGAGAACGCACTATACGCCTGAGAAGCATCCCAAAGCATGACACCACCGAACGATGAGTACTTTGTCCGTGTGTCTTGAGCAATCTGGCCAAGGGTAGCCGCATCGACATAACCGGAGCCGGCAGCGCTCGAAGAGGCCGGGGCGCCAATGTAGATCTTGACGTCCTTGTTGACAGCTTGCGTCTTTGCCCAGTTATCCCAGGCACCAAAGGTCCACGCCTGTGACGATTGGTTCGGATTAAAAAAAAGACTTCTATTTCAAGGTGCTTACGCTGGGGTCGTTATAGCTCTGCAGGCCACAATTGTTGTTGTACTGAAAGCAATCTCAATGTGACGAAAGCAGTCGTAA